GCCCGTGAAACGACGCTGCAGCCTGCGACCGACCGGGACATCACAGCAACGCACGGCAGCGCTGCCGCAGGCGCCCGGCCAAGTTCCCCATCCACGGCTAAAAATAGCTCCTCTCCCATGAGCAGGAACGCCGGATTCACCCTATGCCACACAGAGGGGATCTGTTCTGCAGCCATCTGCCCTGCCCCTGGGGTTTGCAGCATATATGGAATAATATCGGGTGGCAGCTCCTGGGAACTACCTGGCAGGGAATTAGTGCCGTGCCTGGCTGTGTTTTCTGCCCCGGGTGATCTTCACAGCGCTAATCACTTTGGGAGCTGACCCCAAGCCCATAAGTCATCGCAGGAGCTTTCTACCTTAGCGGAGCAGTGCGTGTCCATGGCCGAGAGAGAACCTGGGTTAACCACAGGTCTGCAGGGAGCGCCGAGCTCTGCAGCACGGCATGACGCTGCAGAGCTGACTCACGCCGGCAGCGCGGGGAAGCGGGGCTCCTTTGTCCGGAGAGCAAAAACGCCGTGGGACTCTGACGCAGGGCACGGTGAAGGAAGGGCAGGGAGCCCCGGAGGGAGAGTTTCAAGGCCTCCTATATGTGGAGGGAAGCTTGCAGTCCTGGCCTGCCTTACAGCTTTCCGCTTGTGAAAGAGAATAAAGGCAGACTGCGGGAAGCTGTGAGCTGCACGGACATCCCGCGCAAGGACGGGAAGGGACCGAACCTGGGAGGAGAAGTCAAACCACACTGAACATTTCTGCTCTCCTTTGATGCACTTGCTCAGGACAGAGCAAGGCTTTGCTCAGGACAGAGCAGGGTTTTGCTCAGGACAGAGCAAGGTTTTGCTCAGCACAGAGCAAGATTTTGCTCAGGACAGAGCAAGGTTTTGCTCAGGACAGAGCAAGGTTTTGCTTAGCACAGAGCAGGGTTTTGCTCAGGACAGAGCAAGATTTTGCTCAGCACAGAGCAGGGTTTTGCTCAGGACAGAGCAAGATTTTGCTCAGCACAGAGCAAGGTTTTGCTCAGCACAGAGCAAGGTTTTGCTCAGGACAGAGCAGGGTTTTGCTCAGCATAGAGCAGGGTTTTGCTCAGGACAGAGCAAGATTTTGCTCAGCACAGAGCAGGGTTTTGCTCAGGACAGAGCAAGATTTTGCTCAGGACAGAGCAGGGTTTTGCTCAGCATAGAGCAGGGTTTTGCTCAGGACAGAGCAAGATTTTGCTCAGCACAGAGCAGGGTTTTGCTCAGCACAGAGCAGGGTTTCTGCTCTCCCAAGCCCCACTGACTGTCTCCATGCCTTTCTGGCTCCCCAGTGCTGAACTAGGATACACAAACCACAGGCTGGTTTAAATTCTAACATGAGCATTGTGGCTCTACAAAGCTCCTGCAGAGCTGGTCTCTCCCTTCCACACAGCTTTTCCGTGTTTACCTGTTGTATTTGGAGGCGTGTCCAGAATAGTCTTCAAAAGCTTCATGTCCTTAATGTTATGGATGTAAATCGACTCCTCCAGGCAAACAACCAGCCTCTGCAAGGACACAAGGGACATGCACAGAACCTCACCAGCATGGGCACGGTGCCTCTGGCTGCTGCTCCCACAGTTTGCACACCCAGATCTTCACTGTTAGGAAAACTCAACAGGAATTTCTCATGCACTGAAGTATAACAGAAACATGATCTCTTCTGCTTCTCCATCCCCTGTCACTGAACAAACTTTGATTTTGTATGAGAGTGCTTTTGAGAGCTGCCTATATATGGTCTTGCTTTAGAAAGCAGATAAAACACCACGACTTCTTCTCTGCTACTCTAAGAGCTGATCTTCCACATCCCCAGGTCCCAGGAGCAGGAAAACACATCGGGGTTATACCCTAGCCATGAGGCCTTGATTCCCTTCCTTTCCTAATCCAACTTTTCTTTGCAGTTCTTTTGGTAGCAAATTACTTTTTGATCTCAAAGACCAGACTGCCGGTCCTGCTTGTCAGTAGGTGTACAGATGGGACCACATGCCCCTCGCCCTGACTCTTCCCTAATTTGGGAGTGAACATTTAGGTGATGGGCCTCCCGCTGCTGCCAAACCCAATGCATCTGTTCAGCAAATGAATGTTTCTTTTCCCATTTGGCATCAGCAGGCAAGACTCTGCTTTATGTGCCCTGCAGAACTGCATAAAAACTGGGCTGGGAAGCATTTGTTCAGGGACAGTCACATTGACACCACCTTGGCAGATGGGTAGGGTATTTCCAAGTTCATGTGCTTGTACCTCTTCTGCTGAACTCATCAGGAACGCCCACCCAGCCAGCCAAGAGGCAGCCGCTAAGAGAGGAGCTGTCAAGCGATGGGAAGGAAAGGCAGAAAGGAAAAAGGAAGCCTAATGCTGTAACCTTAGCACTGGGCCACCGTCTCTGTGACCGCTCGCCTTTGTGTCTCAGCTTGGTCCAGACCTTTGCGTGTTACCTTTTGGAGGCCTTTTGCACAGAGGCTTTTTTTGGGACCAGGCTTTGGATCTGGCTAAAAGGTTGTGCTTTCTAAGTCCAGCGAGTGCACAGCTTCACCTACGTTAGTGCCAAGTGTCCAGAAGCACTGAAAACCTCCCGATAAAAACGTAAGGCCAGACTCCATCCAGGCTCCTGAATTTGGAGCACCCGAATCCACGTACAGGAAGCCTCCACCTCTTTAGAAATGAGGCCACTGATTTAGTATCTAAATGTGGAGCTTAGTCACTAACTTGAAACACCCACATTAGACAAATCTTTGCTTTGCTCCACCATTGCTCTCAGATCAAACTCTTTC